GTAGGAACTACTCTGCGCTACTTAGCTTTTTTTCTCTCTAAACTGTACCTACGCAACAGTAGAGTAGCTACTTATCTTTTTACGCCCTGTACTGTATATAAATGAAAGCCTATTAGGGGCTCTCTCACATGCAGGATCATTGCCATTTAACACTGCATTAGGATTAAATTTAAAACTGCACAGAATACATGTATGTATGTAGACAGAAATGATAAGAAGAAATGTAAAGACGAATACATTTTTGTAAAAAATGTCATAACTATTTACAAAAAATAAAACAATTAAGTTGACTCAATACATTTAACCTTATGTTTCAGTTCTTTGTTAATGGGAATGTTTAACGTTTCTAACACTTAAAGAACAGTGGTTATGTAATCAAATATGAGACAGAATTGCAAATACATTATTTTAATAGCCATCAAGTCTCTGGTATCAACAAAAAGCTGTTTCTGAACGAAAAGACATCACCAGTTCATCAGGTGAATTTTTTAAAATCTACTGGCAGATTAAATTTACCAAAAACTACAGTATTTTCTTTGTAACTTTCTTCCCTCACTAGATGGCAAAAAGGCAACCACATAAGGTATAGTTCCTTAATTTTGATGCAATGCTCAAAATTTAAAATACAATATGAATTACAAAACTAACTTTAACTGAGGTTTTAAAATGACATGCATGAATAATCTATTGTTCCCATGGTACATGGATGCATAAGAAAGTATACCAAAACTGCCAGAGTACAGCTACTGCATACTAGAATATAATTCATTCAAAATGTGCAATTAGAAATTAAACGAATAGTGCCTGAGGTTAGCTAAAGTGACAGATATTTTTGGCAAAATCATTGAAATTACTGATATAAAGATCCAGACTAGGGGTCAATGACAAAAGCTCAATTATATTTACGCATTCAATTACGCTCCTTTTGCAAGAAGAGGCTCAATTACAATTACAGTTACACCATGACAGTGTAATTTCAATTACATTTTCAATTACAATTACAACTTGATGTCAAAAAGATACATTGCAATGCTTACACTGTGGCTTAGAATTTACATCAGGTAGTGATTTGCAGTTATCAAATAAACCAATAGACACTAGTGTACATTAAAAACATTTTTTTGTGTATCTGTACATTCTGTAAATGAAATGTAACTGAAACTTCAATTACGTAAGCTGAAGCTCAATTACAATTACACAACTGTAATTGTAATTGACCATTAAATTATAATTACAATTGTAATTGACCCCAGGTCTGAAAAGATCACATTACAGTAGTTCTTTAAAACTATGGTGATTATCACTAAGTAGCCATTTTTACATCCTAATATTCATTCCAAAATTAATCTACAAAAATAAATAGCCAGCCATTAGAAGGACAAAACCCTGTCCACTCCTTGTACAAATACATTGTACTTCTTTTTTACACTGGATGATTCTTAATTACACTGGATCAATCACTTTTGAAGTTTTTTTGCACACTTCAAGAAAAATTTTATTAACAATACTCAAAATCTCTAAAAGTAGGAAATCTCTAAAAGTAAAGTAGGACCATTATGTAGGAAGGAAATAGTGCATTTGAACACTGTTTTTGAAATGATGGCGGTAAAATCATGGTGGTATCAAAAGTAAACTTAATCATGGTGGTATCAAAAGTAAACTTAATCATGGTGGTATCAAAAGTGAGACACTCCTTAAAACATTATCTATTAGGCAGGAGATTGCCCAAATAGGCACAACTGAAGTAACTAGTTTTGAGTCAAAATGCATGCAATTTCTTCTTAATTAATGTACTTTAAATGTATTTTAAATAGGTACTCACTAAAAATTATTGAAGAAGAACTTACATGCACAACAGGCAATGGTACATCGACTCTAGAAACAGTGACACAGGAATCACAATCTTTTAATTTCTTTTCTCTTCTCTAACAAAGGAAAGAAATAATAAAATAGCAAAGATAAGTTTCTCAACAACTGCAACACTCTTGGCTAAAAATAAACCATTACAGATTGCACTAGAGACCTTTGCATAACAAACAGGGTGCTTATATAAGATATCATTAAATAAAAGAAATCCATGATTATAGAGGGTAAAAAATAGTGCTATTTCTTTCCTACATAATGGTGTGACTAGGCACATTATACACATTATACAATTTGACCTATCTATATAGGCGGAAATTAGTGCCAAGCACTATTTTGTCCCCAAAATACTATAAGGAAGAATTAGTGCCTGGCTGCCTGCTGCACTATTTTGTCCCTACAATACTATAGGGAAGAATCAGTGCATTCTGCACTATTTTGTCCTACAATATAGAATTAGTGCGTTGTGCAATTTTTTGTCACAATTAAAGTACATGTATATGGGGGCAAAATAGTGTAGCAGGCACTAATTTGTCCTTATAGTACTTTAGGGAAGAATCAGTGCTTGCTGCACTTTTTTGTCCCTACAATATTACAGGTAAGAATTAGTGACAGCTGCACTATTTTACCCCTATTTAATTTGGGGGAATTTATTTCTAAAACAAAATACATGATATTCACATAATTATACATTTGCCAAGGCCATATCTATAAAGATAAGTTTGATTTGATAGAGGGAGATGTGTGTGTTTAAGATAATTTTAATGGAATGATGATGCTTTTGAAATTACTGAGATTATTTATCATTCAATTTGTGAAGAACCTAAATAACTCCGTTTTTTATGGTCTACATGTGTACTACCATAATTATAGTATCACTATCATTGAAAAATAAGTAACTGATTTTAAATTTTACTTTTTGTTAATTTAAAGACTTCAATATATGTCATGCATTGTATATTATTTGTACTAAAACAAAAGGCACTCATGTCTTTAAAAAGTGCTAAACAGATAATGAAATGGTGTGAAGTGACATTACAATAGTCAAAGGAAGGGATAGTTTTGTGGGTAGAAAAGTAACATGGAGATATGTCTTTGCTACAGGAGAATGATTCTACAATGTTGATACTTTACCATCTTTTTCTATTCAAGATACCATCCTTAATAAATGCTAGGAAGAATTTGACAACTGTAGTGACAATTGTGAAGACCGTAAACTGCCAAATTGTGTGAAGTGTTCATCATTGAGACATAAAAATGTTAACAGAAGTGGCCACAATATAAAACCTTTTAACAATAAAGCCATAAATAGCTGCTTTGAAGGTATTTATAATTATTGAATTTTGTGATTTTTAAAATGAAACTTTTGTTTAGAACTCAACCCAAGTTTTGATCACAATCATTTAGTTATTCAAAGCCTAGTAGCAAAACATTTAATGCTCTCAAGTATTCATAAATGGCAGATGAATGCAACTAAAAACGCTATCAAAGGGAAAGACAGCTTATAGTTCAACCAACTGGCACAGGAAAATTAATGTGCTATGTTATTCCACCATTACTTACTGGAAAGTTGGCCATTGTTATTTCATCGACAATATGTCTCATGTGTGATCAAGTATGTAGCATGGTGTTTCTGCTACGTTCCTCGGTTCTGCTCAAAAGCACAACATATTAAATAACCTGTAAAAATATACTCTTGTTTAGAATCTTTCTATGACAAGCAACAGCAACCATGACAAATTTTTCTATCAATGGCCAGAAACAAAGAAATATGTCTCATTGCAGTGGATGAAGCTCATCCCATAAATTGTTGCAAATCATTCAGGTATGCTACACAGTCAACTCATTAGCTATTACCCTATAGCTGGTTTATTTCATGTGGAAATAATTTTGCGTAGGCCCATATCACCAAATAAGGATTAGCAAAATTTCAATTAGAGGCCATGATATAACAAGCATTACTACACACTCACACACACTTAAATATACACACTAGTAATTACCATATACTATATGGGCACAAAAATGCCTCTGTAAGATCTTGAAAGTGCTTCTTGCAAAAAAGCTGCCAAAAACTTTCTGTCCAAAAATCATCCATACAATAATTATATGGCTACAAAAAGTTGAAGTTTCTAATTTTAACTTATTGTTTTATTAGAACTGAATATAGACTGCTTTTGCATCTAAAGTCTCATTTTCCTGGTATATCATTAATGGCATTAACAGCAACTGCCACTTCAAAAGTTAAGGAAAAGATTGTCCACAATGATAGAACCAATACTCAAAACTTCAATGGTAAACAAGAGAAATATTTCACTCAATGATGAAGAGTTAAAGAAATTGGCATTTTATATTATGCTATGTCATTTCAACCGGTACTACAGACTACTACACATCTATTGCTGACTATCTTGCTGAAGTAGTTGGTAACAATCGCTCCATTGTGTATATATTAACTTTGTTAAAGATGTTGCAGCTTTGGCAATTGCTTTAAAAGGAAAAGGAATAAATAGTAGTAGCTATCATGGCAAAAATTTATCTAGCCATGACAAATTGTAGATAATTGAGGATCAGTGTTTTGATGACTCAGACACACAAGCAAGTGTATCAAGCATTAATTCTGTGTATGATAACAAATTTATGTATATTTATAGCTAATGCTGTGCACTTCTGCACCTGGAATGGGTATAGATGTTCCTAATATAGACTTGGTTCTAAACTTGGTTGCTCACATACAGCACATTTGACGAATTAGTGCAACAGTTTGGAAGGGCTGGAAGACATGGCAGAAAGGCAAAGGGTATTGAATGCTATGAAATTTATGTGATGCAACATAATTTTGGTACAGGTCTTTTTTTGTGAAGATAACCTCTAGCATGCTTTATTTTGGGGTAAAGATACATTGTGTAAGTCATATGATGAGAAAAAACTGCAGTTATCAAAATTTCAAGACGTTTGTAGGTACATGTATATCATTTTTATTACTGTGTGCCATCAATTTTATGTTATACCCATATACAGGTATGCTTTTGCTCATCATCATTGACGAGATACCAGCTAGTCCTGTAAACTACTGGATAAAAGAATTAAATCTTCAGGAAAATGATTGTTTACAGCTAGAAGGAACCCATCACCTTTCAGACAAGCATGTCATAGCTACTGCTAAACTACTGTCAAAACAATTCCCAGACATGCCAATGATTCAGTCGTGTTTGTATACTCAGAAACTAAGTCTCATTCAGCTGGCTACAAATGATTCATTATTTTTCCACAACTTTGGGGACCATTGGGTTACTAGTCATTTTATGGATGGCATTGCTTTTCTTTATGACTCCTTCTACACAGAGATCATTCACTCAGAGTTAAAGAAGCAGCTCATTGCCCTCTATGGATCTGCTATGGTAAAAGTACCGTGGTTGGTGAAGCAAAAGGTGATAAGGAATGTGCCTGCTTTGCAGTAGCATACGCAGTATCTATTCTTTATGGAAATGATCCTGCTAACAATATATTCGATCAGTCACACATGAGACAACACATGATTGAATGTCTCAAAAACATATTTTACATGCCATTCCCATCTATGACATGAAAATCATGATGCAATGTATCAGAATATGTTACCCAACTACATTGATTATTACAAACAAGTTAACAAATGTATGTTATT